TTTAATAGTAATCTGATAACTGTTAAGATTTTTTCTTAAAAAATATGATTAGTCAGTTTGTTGTTTATGTAATCTAAGACTTGTAGAAGCTCTTTAGTAATTTGTTCTGTTATTTTATTATTAATTTTTTTCTTGCTATAAATTATAATATAGTTGATTTTTATTAATATCAATTTTATTAATATTAATCTAAGCTACAAATCAAATTTTTATAAATTTTGATATATCAAAATTCTTTTATATATATTAATTTTAATATAATTTCTCATTAATATTACTATTAATATAATTTAAAACCAATCCAAATAGGTTAATATAAATAGAGGATAGACTGTATATTGTTCCTTTATGTAATTAAGAATTTTCTTGTTATTGTGTTGTCTTTGAGTTAAAAGTATCTGTATTTTTGTTATTGCTAAGTATGAGTTTTTACTTTTGAAACATGAATAGAAATATTTAATAGATTTTTCTTTCAATTCTATTCAGTTTGCTTTTAATTAGTATTGCTAATTCTTTTAGTTCTGTTTGAATTTGTGAGTTTAGTATATTTAGTATTAAAAAGAAATAGTTTGATTAGAAGTTCTTGCTAGCATTTCTTTTATTTAACTAATTTTTTTATTTAGTCTTTTTATTTTATTTTCTGAAGATTTGGGTTTCTTGAAAACTTTTATAATTAATTTAATATAGATCTTATACATATTTTAGTCTGTTTCAAAGGTAGCATTTTTAATTTCTTTTATACTTTTTTTTCAGCAGGCTGTTCTTAAAGGTGTTTGAATCAAATCTCCAGATAGTAGAATGTTTAGAATTCTATTTTAGGCTTAAAGTGTATTTAACCAAGAGATGATTTAAGTTTCTTAATCTTGCTTTTGTTTTTGATTTAAAATAGTTATAATTTTCATTTATGAATATATTATCTAACCAAATAGTAATTATTTGATCATTATATGTTTTTTGATAAAAAATAAAAAAAGTTTTTATAGAAAAAAAAGGCAAAGTTAATAATCCTTTGTTATTCTTTTAACAGATATTTTGAGGAATTATTCTGAGCAGTTGCTTGACTTTTTCTATTTATTTCTGGAATTAAGTTTGTATTTTTATCTCTTGCTATAATGTTAATCATATTTTGTTTTTTGTCTATATTTTATTTGTCAAAGAATGTAGCTCTGTTTAGAGCATTTGATGGTGCATATATATTGATTATGTGAAAAAAAATTTTTTAAAAATAAAACAGATAGAAATAATTCTGTTTTTATAAAATCTTTTGATATTCTGAAACTTTATCTTTTTGTTTCTTGCTAATATTGCTGTTCTGCCTATTCAAATTAAATCCAAAAACTATTGGTCTTTTAAAAATTATTGTATTGTAATATTAAAAATGTTTGTTTTCTGTAAGAGAATAATATCTAGTTTATAAGATTTTAATAATATTAATGTTCTAAGTTATTTGTCCAGATTATTTAAATCTTTAATATTTAAGATAATAATTTTGATTAATATATTTTTCATAAAAAATTAATGATTTTTAGAGCTTCCTTGGGCTTTTTGTTTTGGTTCATTATTCTGATTCTCTTTGTTAACCATATTGCAAGATTTTGCATCCTTATGTCTTCTTTTTTTTTTTACTACTAATATAAAAGCTGTATTTTTAGTATTTTTTTAACTAATCATATAGTCATCTTTCTGATTTGTATCAGAATTCTCTAGAACTAAGTTAGTAAAACAAGTGTTTATAATCAGCTTATTATCTGCAAGTAATTCTACTTTAACATCTATGTTGTTTGTAACAGAATTCTCTTCTAGTTCTGTTGTTTATTCTTGATTAAGTGCTGTTTTTATGTTGTTATTTTTTATTGGTTCTTAAACTATGAAATTTTTTTTATCAGTATTTATTTAGACTTCTGTAATGATCTTATCTAATATTTTATTTAGATTTTTTTATTTTATTTTTGAGTTCTTAAAAATATTGTCTTAACTTCTTTGCTTCTTAAAATTGTAAACAATTTTTCTTAATATAACCAATTTGATCATAAAAGTAGTATACTTTTGGTGTCTTCTTCTACTTGATAGTAACTCTGTTATCTTTAATATATGTGAAGCAAGAAATTTTCTATTCCAACTCAGAGTCTTTTGTATTATCAAAAATAACAATCTATTGGTTTATCATATATAGAGTACCTTTAATAAATAATAGTTTAATTAAGTTAATTTTTTTAAAATTTTTGAATATTTTTTTGATCAGCATAGAGACTTGTTTTTTGGTATCCAAAGAAATATTTCTCATTTTGATTGAAAAAAAGAACTTGTATACATCTGTAAGAATATATTTATAATAGGTTTCATTAAAAATTTTAATTCTTTTGATAACATAATGTGCTAATTAGTTTTAGTTTAAGAATATAATTTCAAGATAGGATCTTAGACTCTTTTTAAAATATTATTTAACAACTACTATATTTTTTTCTAGTTTTTCATACAAAGAAGTCATAATTTTATTAAGAGAATTATAAAGATTAGAAATTTTAATAATTAGTATATTATTATTTTTAGATCTAACTTAATTTTTAAATGAAAAAATAACAAAAGTTAATTTTCTTCTTTTTAATTTAGTAGTTAAGTTTGTAACTTATTTGATTACTAAGTTATAACTTTGCATATAGACTGGGTTTTTATAATAACTCATATTTTAGTTATTGTATTTTGTATATGACTATTTTTGTTATTATTTTCATTTTGGTTATCTGTTTTGTTTCTATATCTAGACATATTTTTTAAAGTCTAAATACTTTTTTTATTTTGAATCATGTTTTTTAATCAGTTCTTCTTATTTTGAACTATTATTACTGGTATTAGTTCTTCATCTTTTACTGATCCTATTTTTTTTTGAGTTGTTAAAATATGTTTAGTATCTGTGTTATTTATTTTTTTAATAAAAAAATTATTTATGTTTTTTTTTCTTTTGAGGTCAAGTTTTTATATTTTAAAAATTTTTTCTATTATTAGTAACTTTACTTTTCAAAAAAGCTTTCTTTTTTCTGGAATAAGAACTTTAACTCTTGTTAGTATCTTATTTAATAAATTTTGATTTCTTTTTATTGAATTTATAATTATTGTTTTTATTCATTTTTTTTGATCTAATGTAAATAAAAAAAAGTTTTTTTTTGCTTAGAATATTTAATAAAACTATATAAAAAAAACTTCAATTTGAATATAAAAAGTTAATAAGATATTACTTAGTTTAGAAATAGTATTTTATAAATTTTTAATAGTTCAAGACATATGTATAAATAATATTTATGTTTTAGTATTGTTTCTAAAATCTATGCTATCAACAATCTTATTTAGAAAGATAAACACTACTAACTGTTTTGATAATTTTATATATTAATTTTTTTAAAAAAATAAATGTTTATTTTTATAAAATTTTTTTTAAAAAAAAATAAGAGACAACAAAATTTTATATGTGATTCTTCATATAGGTTTTACAGTTGTATAATAATCATTCCAAGTTTTTAATAATCCTGACTTGAATTTTTTCACAATAGTTCTTAAAAAAAACCTTCTAGTTTAAGTACCAAACAGTAGAGAATCTGCTTAGAAAAAAAACTTGACCTTCTTCAAACAATCACAAATACACTTGTTTCTCAATGTTTTATGTTTATTTTGGCTTTGTTAACAACAACTTACTTCATGTAGTACTAGAAATATTAATCTTGCTATAATGTTTTTCTGTAATTTAGTTTGTTGTTGTTGTTGACCAGACGATTGTCCTTTAATTTATTTGTTTTTTTTTTTATTTTACAAGATATTATACAAATATGTAATGTTCTATTGTAGAACAGAATTAGATGAATCATTACTTTCTAGTTTCTAGAAGACTAGTATAGTAAATTATACATATTTAGGTATCAAGTTAAGTAACTAGAATAATGCTAGACTTCGGAATTAAGTAGTTCTATATAATTGCTTTTGTAATTTCAAGAATCTTAATAAAGTACTAGTATAACTGCTTAGAAAAAGAAAAATATTAAAACAAGAAAACAACAAATACAAAAAAAAAAAATATTAACAACCAAAAGATTGCAATATTAGCAAAATCCGACAACTTAATAATTTAAAAAAAAATTAAACAAAAAAAAAATATAACTAAAAAATAATCAAACTATAGTAAAAAAAATACTATGCAAAGATACAATAAACAGTTTATCAAAAAATTGAGGTTTTACAAACGCAGAATTTCTTGAAACCAAGCGTGATTATAGAGAGGTTTGACCATACGTTCGTTTTAAAAATTAGTGTGATTATAAGTATAGAAATGCGATAGAACAAATTTATTTTAAAATTAGGTATACCCAATGTAAATAGATATAAGTTATGCGATCTGTGCTTTTAATTCCAGAGTTAAGTTCGATAGAGAAACGATTGTAAAATTAATTGGGTTATTACATTATATTATTTAACATATTCTAACACCAATTCAAAGTTAGATTAATGACAAGAACTATCTAATTTTTCATGCTAGCAGGATCTTTAACAAGTTATTTCCGACTTAAAAGATAGGATAGAGACGAGCCTACTCGCATCGAAAAAACATTCTCTTTATGTAACGGCATATATTTTGTACATAATACACATAATACTTTTCTTTGTAAAAATAAATATAATATTTGTCAAGATTTGCTACACGCTTTTCATCAATGGTTCACAGATGTTATAATTCATATAAAATTCTGAATGATTTCATCTTAATTCAAAAAAAAAGCACAACAAAAACAATATTTCCTATTGCGCTTGCGCTCATAATTTTACTAACAATGCATAAAAATTTTTTGGGGATTTTATTTCAGCATTTCTATTTATCGATTTAACCTCATCTAAAACATAAATTACAAAGAGGTAATAAACAAAATCGAGTTTCTCAAATAATTAAGGGGAAAAGAATCAAATTACTTTCTAAAAATAGGGTTTCACTTTTTGTTCGTTTATTAAAAAAAATTTTTTTATAGTTCTTTTTCTTCCGAAGTTTTTAACCTTCTGAAAAGTTCCCTGGCAATTTCGCTGAATCCGGAATACTTTTCAGGATGATCGAATACTCTATTAAATCCTTCTGTATCTCTGATTGCTGTAAAGTGTTTTAAAATGTAATCCATACATACTCTTTTTAAATCCATCCATTGATGACCTAAACTGAAAAGTACTTCGGCCACATTGGATATCGCCAATTCTTTGTATATACGAGCTAATGTGCGTTGTCGCAAATCAGTTATTTGATATTTGTCAGCCAGTCGAAAAAGATGCACGAGCGACGTTATTTTTGCCGTTCCAGCCGGCTCTGAAAAGTCGATCTCGTTGGTATAAAGATAGTGAAGCAACGTACAGAAAGTTTGTGGATCACAATCTGTAATGTTGACAACATGATAATAACCTGGAGGAAATTCCTGATAAAAATCATCATCATCTACTTCAATCTCCCGACCATCTATTCTAGGATTGTTTCGTGAAGAAGTTCCTCTTTCCGATGAACTGATCTGATTTTTATCTGTTGCATCTGGAATTTCATGATCATTTTTATTATGTTGTGACGGAATCGTTCTTGTATTATTGTTATCATCATGATGAATTGTTCCTGAAGGAAATGTACTGATTTCGTAATCAATTGAAGAGTTACTAAAATTAGACGATCCGATTTCTGAATGTGGTCGTTGTTTTTTAGGCATTCTTGCATCTTTTTTTTCTTTGACTTCATAAGAATTACCTATATTTGTTTCTCGATTATCAATGATCTGTATCACTGATTTACAACAATTTCCCGAAGAATCGCGATGTCGTTTCTTTAATCGACCACATTCTGCTAAGGAGATCATGCGTGATTCAACGCACCCGCTTGCAAACATGGTTTTAAAATATTCACTACGTCCACATATAATGTCCTTATTTGCACAGAGAACTTCTCCCTGAACATTGAATAGTACATCTGCCATTCTTGGATTATTTATGGCAGTTTTCCATGATTGGATCAATGAATCTGGCGGTACACATTTATTATCATTCCATACAACATATGTCTCAGTAAACGGGACACTTAAAAATTCGATGCCCAAGACTAATTTTGTTTGCGGTAGAGCGGAACGTTTCACAAAAAATTCCCGACCTACAGATTTAATTTAATAAGTGAAGATATTGTTAAAATTCATAATTAAAATAATGCGGTTGTTACCTCTGTATGAACATCTGATAGAAAATTTTCTTAGGTTTCTATTGGTATAATAAATGGTGCTCCCAATTTTATTTTTGGTTTTGGGATCTTGAAGATAAACTATTGCAGTTGTATTAAGACGTTCTCGCCAAGGTTCAACTGATTGGATCTCAGATGCATTAGGGATTATACATAGATAAAGTGATAGGTATTCTTCGTTTTCCTTGAGATTTTCTGCCTATGACAATCCGTTAGGAATTATGACAATGACATGACAAAAAAAAAGAAAAAAAAAGGGAAAAAAAAAACACACAGGCTGTATCCAAAGTTGCCAAAAATGCTGTTCGTTCACTGAATTTCCGGAACAACCAGAAGAAAAGACCGGACTATAAAGAGATTTATTGAGTTGAGAAAGCCCTTCAAATGCGAATTCGTATGTTACGCTGGTGACGTTCTCTTGTTCGTGCTTTGCGTTTTCTCGATCAAATGCGATACTATGTGTGTTTTCCCGACTCTCAACCATGATAACGATTTCTTAAATGAAACTTATTAAAATTTTTATCTACTTATATCGTACAAAGGATTGAAATGATAAACTATATAAAGTTTATCGTTATTATAAGTTTAATAGATTGAACAATATGGTGGTCAACGGGCGCATGTTTGCATATGTATTGCATGATGCGTATTACAATGAACCGATCAATGTTACAAAAAAACGTAGGATGAACCGAAAAGAGAAAAACTATATATAAGCTTGAAGCGAATACAATCCCTTATTGTTCAAAAGACCGAGCTTTTATAATGTGAGAACGAGAATCATTGAAAGGAGCCTCTAATTGTTAATTTCCTTATAGTGAAGGTTATCGTTATTGGAATAATCCTCATACTATATTTTCGTAAGTCGTACCTAACCCCACATAATTTAGAAATTTGTCGGGAAATTATAAAGTTACCCCAATAGAATGGTCGGCCATTTTAGTTATCAAAAATGGATATCGATGTTTTTTTTAATGAGCTAGATACGCAAAATGGGAGCATATCATTTCCCCGATATTTTTTTCTTCGACAATAATTATCAGACTTTAAATATTAATCATCACCTGACGTGATGTAGATTTTATTTTCCCGAAAGAACATAATACTGACTAAATTAGCCAGCATTATAACTAATGCTGGCTAACTTTGTCGGTATTATGTCTTTTTCTTGATTTTAGGGTAGAATATGCATATTATACGTACTCAGTGTGCAATAGATGAATAGAACAATAGAATAGAGAAATAGGATTTAAAATAGAATAAGATTTTTGTCAATAGAACAATAAATTGCCAATAAGATTACAATTAGATATTAATATAACAATAAATAAATAGAACAATATAATAGAGCAATAGAAATTAGAATAGAATATAATTTTTATCAATAGAACAAGAAATTGATAACACCAACTATATTGTATAAAGATATCTTGGTAAGGATCTAAACAATTGGTTTCATAACCTAAGCGGATCAAAGTTTGAAGGCTCAAAAAAAAAATTTATAAAATTTATATATATATAAAATAAAAAAAGCTGGTCGAGTCTGTTTAAAATTTTATATTATAAAACAAGCAACAATTTTTAGGAAAAAACTTGGGCATAATCAAATAATTTAGTATACAGTAAATCAAAATCTTTAAAATATAATGTATAATATTACTTTATACAAATATAAAAGTTTTAATCTAAAAGAAAAATAAAATAAAATAAAAACTAAGTATAATAAAAATTTAAAATATTGTCTGATATACTTTGTTTAAAAGTTAATTATAATTAACTATATATTAATTAATTATAAATTTTGGCTTGTCTTTGTTAAAAAGGTAGTTATACTGTAATTAATTATTAATTAATTATACTGTATAATTATAATACTAAGATTTTTTTATTCTTTATACACTGTATATAGTTATTATTGCAGCAAAGTATTGTAAAAGAGCAAAGTTCTTAATTACTTTTGGTAAATTTCTAATTTAAAAATATACTGTATAAATAGTATTAAAATAAAATAAATTACAATTTAATATAGTTAAAATAATTTTATAAAAAGCAATTACCAATTACTGTAATTTGCTTTTATTTACAGTATATTTGATTTTAAAATATAGCATAATTATTACTAATTTAAAAATTAAATGTTTTTAGATGCTAAATACATAGTTTATATATTATAATTACAGTCAACTTTTATTATAAATATAATTCAATATTAACATTATTACATATCATGTGCCTAAATTAACATCAATATATACATTTTATTTGAATGCTGGGAATGATTAGTACAAGAATTGATGCATCTGTTTTTTTTTGTAATGTTTATCTTTTCATAGAACGTTTTTTTGAAAGCTGTAATGCCCAATTAGTTGCTCGAGCAAGTTGGCTTTGTACTCTCTTTATGTCAATTAACGCTTTATGCCATGCCCTCATCTCTCGTTCTTCCAACTCTAAATATTTCCTTATTAACAGTCCGAGTTCAATTTGCATTAATTCCAATGTTTCAATTTTAACTTCTTCTTCCTCTGTAGCTTTTGTCCTCAAACTTGCTATATAATTTGCAAGTTCTTTAGAATCCGAATGTAGGTTATTACAAATCTCTATTTCTTCTAGAATTCTATGAAGTTTAATGGAACTTTGACACTCAAAATTATAAATTTCTTCTCGTATTTCTTCGATTTCCATTAGGGTCGTGGCCAACTTTTGATGAAATTTATCACGAGTGTTCATTGCTTGTCGTTGAAGGTTGTTGTATGCAATGACCAATTTTTCGATTTCATTTTTCTTCGGTGATGGTATTATAGCTGGAGTTGGCTTAGTCGCCTTAAATGAAAGAGGTTCTTGATATATTGGAATGACAGTTTCTGATATTTCTGATATTTCTGGTATTCTTTTCTTTAATTTATCATATAATTTTGTGACACCATAGCCGCCAACCAGTGCTAGAAATGTGGCCGACATTAAAAAAATGTTAAATTTGAGATTATTTTGTGACATTTTTTTTCAAAATAATTTTGCAATTTTTGAAAAAATAATGTGTCATATATCAATATTGAGATTTGGGACCATGAAAGAAGAGAATCACTATTATTTATAACCTAAGGCTAAAAAGAATATATTTTTCTCGGCGCCTGCATGCCTAATGTGTACAAAACTGCATGCAGTTACAATAGCTATTTTCAAATCTTGGTGAAACTTACCCAACAATATTTATATTGTTGTTATAACACTATATAAATGCATAATCATTTGATCGTGACGTAAGTCATTAATAAACGGTTTCGAAAGACCATTGTCATCTATTCTTATAAAAGACATTTTTGCAATAATTTTTAACTTTCTACGTCCAATGTTCTATCATTTAGGGAGAACTATATGTAATTCAACATTCGACTGTAGTTAACAGGTCTTATTCAGAAGTTTGATGCTTGATTAGTAATAGAATACTTCCAAAAGAACAACATTTATATTTATTTAAAACTTTAAGTACGTACTTATTCTATTATGTATGCTCTGATTAAAATATTACGCAATCAAACACTGAATTATATGTTGCTTTTAATCATGAATCATATCGGAGGTGGAAGTGTAAAAGTGTCTAAGATATATTTCGATTGATTGGTTGAGGTAAAAGGGTATTGTTTGGAGTGAGTTACTGGTAGTAAGACGAATGATTGCGAGAAATACCCTCTGTTTTCTGCTCGTCTAGTGTTAGTTCTTTGACTCACTCATTTAACTTATGTTGAACAACATTCATAAGCACATGATATCGCAGATAATTAGCACGTAATCAGCATATAATTAGCACATAATCAGCATATAATTAGCATATAATTAGCATAGTAACATATTCTTTTGAGACATCAATCTTGATAATTGTTAGTACATATATTTTAAGAGGCTCGACATTTCAAAGTCTGTACGATTTACAGGCTGCATAATGGCAAATATTCATGGTTCTATTGTCCGGAGCGAAGCGGAGGGTACTGCTTTTACGAGAGTAGTTGAATGTACGATAATCACTCACACATAACGCATTAACTAGCATATATGTTGTAAGCAGAAATGGAATGTTTATATAGAACCAGTATTTCAGAGTTGATTTTATCATATAAACACGTAGGAAATTCCAAATCCATTTAAATTCCGTTTCCATTTACAACATATATATCTAATATATTGAACTAAAGAAAAAAATATCGTTGAATTGTTTGTGCATATTGAAAATAATTATACGTACGCAGCTTTTACATATGTATGCTAAAATATGCGAAAATTAAGCAACCTCTTTTAATTCAACTTGTGAAATCATCAATGTACTTCACTATATCAAGTTAGAGTTTAATCATTCCGTAATTCAAATTATTCATTATATCGAATCATGAATTACTATGTGAGAGTGAATTATATGTATTAAGATCAAATAATAATAAAAAAAGATTTATGCCATAGAACCACAAAATTTTCAATTTTATTAAATTTTAAAAAACGTTCTTTTTTATAAGAACGTATAGCTTATTGAGTTACAGCATATGTAAGTATATGGGATGTTGTCAATCAAAACTTGCCGTGAAGAAGATATTGTTTTACTGCTTTTTTTTATTAACGTTAATAAGTTTAATTTAGAACTTATTTTAGTAAATTAAATGACCGTACATATATAATCTTAATTAATACTGATATGACGTCGATGTAACTTATTATAGCGTACAGATAGTTGTTGGTCAACAAATATGTTCCTCAAATCCTTACAAGTAAGTATGACGTTATCCTTAAACAGCTTCTGATATTTTTTTTTTGGCAATTTGTTCTTGTTTATACGTAATACTTATTTTTAAATATGCTTATTGTCTGAAGCGTAGCGAGGACTACATGTACAAGTAAACCTTAAAAAAAGTCTGTCTGTCCGGCACGTGACTAGTTTGTGATTGGTTGCTTTACCTAGACCCCACTAGACATTTGATTACAAAATGTCCGTCTGTCCTGCTTTACCTAGACCCTACACATAACTCTGGTTATATCGACATTTTTGAGACATTAGTAAAAATTTTCAAAATGTCGATACAGTGAGTTATACCGACATTTTATATTAAAATTTTGAAAAAAAATGTCAGTATAGAAAGATTTTTCTATGATGTCGTTATATCCAGATGTTGGTATAACCAGAGTGACATGTACTAGACAAAATGTCCGCCTGTACGGCACGTGATTAAATCATGATTGGCTGCTTTGCATAGACCACGGGAATTGCTACAGACACAGCCTTATCGACACAGCTACCCCAGTGAGACCATGAAAGATCGTCGTATATGCACCAATCAGATCTTTTCAAATAATCAAAACAACTTTAATATGCGTAATAGTTTAAAGTAATAAAACCTCATGTTAGGTTTGGTATAGGGATTACATTAATGCATGTTCTATACCAAAATTTCACGATGAATTTTTTTTATTAGAGCGCAGAAAGTGGTTTCATAGTCAATATTT